ATCTGACCATATGACATTCTCCCAATCCTCTTCTGGATCATCCAAATGCACTCTAGCAAACTTCAGACGGGCCTGGACACGTCTGGCACTGCAGGATTTGAGTCCCTGGCGGCGTAGTGTGTTACTGATGGTAGGCTTTGTTACTTTGGTCCCAGCTCTCTGCAGGTCATTCACTAGGTCCCCCCGTATGGTTCTGGGATTTTTGCTCACCGTTCTTGTGATCATTTTGACCCCACGGGGTGAGATCTTGCGTGGAGCCCCAGATCGAGGGAGATTATCAGTGGTTTTGTATGTCTTCCATTTCCTAATAATTGCTCCCACAGTTGATTTCTTCAAACCAAGCTGCTTACCTATTGCAGATTCAGTCTTTCCAGCCTGGTGCAGGTCTACAATTTTGTTTCTGGTGACCTTTGACAGCTCTTTGGTCTTGGCCATAGTGGAGTTTGGAGTGTGACTGTTTGAGGTTGTGGACAGGTGTCTTTTATACTGATAACAAGTTCAAACAGGTGCCATTAATACAGGTAACGAGTGGAGGACAGAGGAGCCTCTTAAAGAAGAAGTTACAGGTCTGTGAGAGCCAGAAATCTTGCTTGTTTGTAGGTGACCAAATACTTATTTTCCACCATAATTTGCAAATAAATTCATAAAAAATCCTACAATGTGATTTCCTGGATTTTTTTCCCTCATTTTGTCTGTCATAGTTGACGTGTACCTATGATGAAAATTACAGGCCTTTCTCATCTTTTTAAGTGGGAGAACTTGCACAATTGGTGGCTGACTAAATACTTTTTTTCCCCACTGTAGCTCTATTTGGTAAAAGACCAAGTCCATATTATGGCAAGAACAGCTCAAATAAGCAAAGAGAAACGACAGTCCATCATTACTTTAAGACATGAAGGTCAGTCAATACAGAACATTTCAAGAACTTTGAACGTTTCTTCAAGTGCAGTTGTAAAAACCATCAAGCGCTATGATGAAACTGGCTCTCATGAGGACCGCCACAGGAATGGAAGACCCAGAGTTACCTCTGCTGTAGAGGATAAGTTCATTAGAGTTACCAGCCTCAGAAATTGCAGCCCAAATAAATGCTTCACAGAGTTCAAGTAACAGACACATCTCAACATCAACTGTTCAAAGGAGACTGTGTGAATCAGGCCTTCATGGTCGAATTGCTGCAAAGAAACCACTACTAAAGGACACCAAAAAGCAGAAGAGACCATCAGACTGTTAAATAGCCATCACTAGCACATTAGAGGCTGCTGCTGCCTATTGAAATCACTGGCCACTTTAAATGTAATAATGTTTACATATCTTGCACTACTCATCTCATGTATTGTATTCTATAATTTCTACTGTATCTTAGTCCATGCCGCTCTGTCATTGCTTGTCCATATGTATATATTCTTAAATTCCATTCCTTACTAGTTTTGTGTGTATTGGGTATATGTTGTGAAATTGTTAGATATTACTGCACTGTCGGAGCTAGAAGCACAAGCATTTCGCTACACCCGCTATAACATCTGCTAAACACGTGTATGTGACAAATACAATGTGATTTGAACTTGACAGAGCTTGAGAGGATCTGCAGAGAAGAATGGGAGAAACTCCCCAAATACAGGTGTGCCAAGCTTGTTGCGTCATACCCAAGAAGAGGATGGAATCTCTGCCAAATGTGCTTCAACAAAGTATTGAATAAATGGTCTGAATACTTATGTAAATGTGATATTTCTGTTTTCTAACAACCTGTTTTTGCTTTGTCATTATGGGGTATTGTGTGTAGATTTGAGGGGAAAGTAATCAATTTTAGAATAAGGCTGTAATGTAACAAAATGTGGAAAAAGTCAAGGGTCTGAATACTTTCCGAATGCACTGTATGTAGTGTCACGAACCGGCTCAAGTTCGTAAAACAAAAAGGGAGACACGTGGAGACAAGGAATACCAAAAGTATATATTTATTAGCTAAAGTAAACTAAATCAAATAACAATGGTGTGTGTAATCAGTAATCAGTAGGGTAAGTGAGTGTTTTGCATAAATGTAATAATGCAAAGTGTTGAGAGGTGCCAAAGCAAACAACCAAAAAGCCACAAAGATACCACAACAAAAATCAGTCAAAGTATCTGCCTGGAGAGAGTCTCCCCAATGAATGTGGAAGAGGTCCATTTATCCTGGGACACACCCGGGCCCAGGTGTTTCCCATGTAGCTGACGACCCTCCCAACTCCGCCCACCGGCATCCTAATAAGGAAAACGAGCAAAGAGAGAGAATTCGGCAGACAGAGTGGGAGGGGCGTCACACCCCCCCATAAAACCGGGGACCAACAAGGACCCCGGAACAACGTACCAGCCTCTGCGTCCCCAAACTGACAAATTGTACATGTTCACACCTCCACTTGCCCCAACCATCATCCTCCTCCCCAGACCTCAGCAACCTTTACACAGGAAGCAACATTTAAGAGGAAAGAGGAAGAGAAGACTAGGAGGGAACAGACAGGAAAGATAGAACATGACAAAACCAAACAATGGTCAGTCACATAAACAAAATCAGGAACAAGGCGCCCGAGAGAGCGCATCAGCAATCACGTTATCCGTCCCCCAGATGTGCCGCACATTAACGATGCCGGATTGATTGATTTCCAAGTTTAGTATACGTTTTTTCAAGATGAGTGATGGGAAGAGAATTGTCCAGCCCATTGTGTATCTCATTACACCCCATATTCACAGTGATTTAGATACGCATACACTATTCAGCGCTTTGTTTGTTTTTCTTAGGAACTGAAATTGAGCAAACAGTGTAGAATTTCAGCAACCAGGAAATGAGAGTGATTTCTACATTGGCCACGACCCGATTTCCACTAGGTAACACAGCCAAAGTCAAAACCAGCTTTCCCATTTTGACAACAGATGCCGCGCCTGCGGGAGAAATCAATAGGCGAATATCACAGCCAATCACAACACTGGCGGGTAAATAATACTGTGAAACACTATCACTGCAGATACATACTGAACAAAAATATAAAACGCAACTTGCAACAATTTCTAATATTTTACTGAGTTACAGTTCATATAAGGTATTCAGTCAATTGAAATAAATTCATTAGGCCCTAATCTATGGATTTCACATGAATGGGAATACAGATATGCATCTGTTGGTCACAGATACCTTTTAATAAATTGGCCTCACAATGGGCTCAGGATCTCGTCACAGTATTTCTATGCATTAAAAACGGCCAATCGATAAAATGCAATTGTGTTCGTTGTCCGTAGCATATGCCTGCCCATACCATAACCCCACCGCCACCAAGGGGCACTCTGTTCACAACATTGACATCAGCAAACCGCTCACCCACATGACGCCATACACATGGTCTGAGGTTGTGAGGCCGGTTGGAAGTACTGCCAAATTCTCTAAAACGATGTTGGAGTCAGCTTATTTACATTTACATTTACGTCATTTAGCAGACGCTCTTATCCAAAGCGACTTACAAATAGGTGCATTCACCTTATAGCCAGTGGGATAACCACTTTACAATGTAACAGCTTTTTTTTTGGGGGGGGGGGGGGGGGGGGGTAGAAGGATTACTTTATCCTATTCCAAGTATTCCTTAAAGAGGTGGGGTTTCAAATGTCTCCGGAAGGTGGTGAGTGACTCCGCTGTCCTGGCGTCGTGAGGGAGCTTGTTCCACCATTGGGGTGCCAGAGCAGCGAACAGTTTTGGCTGGGCTGAGCGGGAACTATGCTTCCGCAGAGGTAGGGGAGCCAGCAGGCCAGAGGTGGATGAACGCAGTGCCCTCGTTTGGGTGTAGGGACTGATCAGAGCCTGAAGGTACGGAGGTGCCGTTCCCCTCACAGCTCCGTAGGCAAGCACCATGGTCTTGTAGCAGATGCGAGCTTCAACTGGAAGCCAGTGGAGTGTGCGGAGGAGCGGGGTGACGTGAGAGAACTTGGGAAGGTTGAACACCAGACGGGCTGCGGCATTCTGGATGAGCTGTAGGGGTTTAATGGCACAGGCAGGGAGCCAAGCCAACAGCGAGTTGCAGTAATCCAGACGGGAGATGACAAGTGCCTGGATTAGGACCTGTGCCGCTTCCTGTGTAAGGCAGGGTCGTACTCTCCGAATGTTGTAGAGCATGAACCCAGGCGGTAGAGAATTGAACATTCAATTCTCTGGCAACAGCTCTGGTGGACATTCCTGCAGTCAGCATACCAATTGCAAGCTCCCTCAAAACTCGAGACATCTGTGGCAGTGTTGTGACAAAACTGCACATTTTAGAGTTACCTTTTATTGTCCCCAGCACAAGTTGCACCTGTGCAATGAACATGCTGTTTAATCAGCGTATTGATATGCCACACCTGTTAGGTGGATGGATTATCTTGACAAAGGAGAAATGCTCACTACAAGGGATGTAAACAAATTTGTGCACAACATTTTTGAGAAATAAGCTTTTTGTGTACATGGAACATTTCTGGGATCTTTTATTTCAGCTAATGAATTTTCGGACCAACCATTTACATGTTGCGTTTGTTTTTGTTCAGTGTATTATGGACCTTTTCAGAAATTACAATGCCATTTTTTTTTTTACAAATGAATTGCAATTCTATTTAATCCCTTGAAATGACTGGATGAAATTCACCCTAGTGTTGGTCTTGTTTCCTGAAATGTATAAAAACAACAGAGTAACTTACTATGAGCACTTCAGTTGGACTCAATTATTTTATTCAAGATGACACCGACAAAAATAAAGATTTAGCAAATTAGTAGATTTCTTTACAAAAATCACAATTGAGAAGCAGTAACTTTTGTGAACAGTTTTGTACCTTTTTAAAAAAAAACATTATTCTCCTAAAACCAAGCTGAAAAAAATGGTGTGTCAAATGAACAAAAACCTTTGGCATGTGGTCATCATGGGGGGCATCTATCGTGGGAGCCAGTGCCCATGTGGCATGTGGTCATCACGGGGGGCATCTATCGTGGGAGCCAGTGCCCATGTGGCATGTGGTCATCACGGGGGGCATCTATCGTGGGAGCCAGTGCCCATGTGCAACCAGTAGTCCTGGTTCTGGAAGAAGACGAGGTTGTAGAAGTTTTCGCCTCCCTTGAGAAACCCGTGTTCTGTGTCTCCCCAGGCGACGGGACTGTCCATGAAGCCGTGCACAGTCAGTGACAGCCAGGACGTGAATTTGGGCTCGTCAAAGTACCGCCTGGGTTTAAGAAAAGACCACAGTAAATTAGTATATATATTTAAGACTAGATATTTTAAATCTAATTTATTCCAAAAAGGAGAGCAATATTTTTGGCAATACAGTTGGACAAGCTCAATTCAGAGTCCTCGGCTTTTATCGAGTCGCATGTCACTGTAGACCGTGCACTCTGCAGGCTCTCTGTAGGAGGCTGTATATGATGACCTGGGGGTAAATGCCTTCACTAAACCAGATAATTAAGATGGTTGAACAAAGTGTTTTTAGGAGTCAACGGTATAAAGATGCACTCTCACTGTACTATCAACTTTTGGTGTTCAAAAGGACTGATACAGTCAGATATGTTGCAGAAGGTGAACTTACCTCAGTTCCTGCAGCAGAGAGTAGATGTCTTCGGGCAGCAGCAGGCCGGACACTGTGCAATGCAGGGCTTGGCTCACCAGTGTTTGTGGCTCTGGACAGACGTACGTCGAAAGGAAGCTGGCTGCTGTATTGTCACTAAATAATGAACAACGACGAACATCATCATCACTAGCTTTCTGCAATAGTGTGTGTTATGAGAGAGAGATTAGCCACACGGGAGAAGTGAATGATACCATGACAGATTTCCCCCTCTCTCTCACACAAGTACCCAGTGACACGTACAGTGCCTTCAGAAAGTATTCGTACCCCTTGACTTGTTCCACATGTAGTATTGCTTTTTTCTCCTCACCCATAATGACAAAGTGAAAATGTTTTTAGAAATTGAAAATGTATTGAAAATGAAATACAAAAATCTAATTTACCTAAGTATTCCCACCCCTGAGTCAATACTTTGTAGAAGCACCTTTGGCAGCGATTGATGTGAGTCTTGCTGGGTAAGTCTCAGAGCTTTCCACACCTGGATTGTGCAACATTTGCCCATTATTCTTTTAAAAATTATAAAATCGGTTGATCATTGCTAGACAACCATTTTCAGGTCTTGCTATAGATTATCAAGTAGATTTAAGTCAAAACTGTAACTCTGCCACTCAGGAACATTCACCGTCTTCTTGGTAACCAACTGCAGTGTAGATTTGGCCTTGTGTTTTAGGTTATTGTCCTGCTGAAAGGTGAATTCATCTCCCAGTGTCTGGTGGAAAGCAGACAACCAGGTTTTCCTCTAGGATTTCGCCTGTGCTTAGCTCCATTCCGTTTATTTTTTATCCTGAAAAACTCCCCAGTCCTTAACGATTACAAGCATACATGATGCTGCCACCACTATGCTTGAAAATATGGAGAGTGGTTCTCAGTAATGTGCTGTATTTGCCCCAAAACATGACACTTTGTATTCAGGACTAAAAGTTAATTTCTGGCCTCCCGAGTGTCGTAGCGGTCTAAGGCACTGCATCGCAGTACATGAGGCGTCACTACAGACCCGGGTTTGATCAAAAGCTGTGTCACAGCAGGGCGTGACCGGGAGATGCATGAGGCGGCGCACAATTGGCCCAGCGTCGTTCGGGTTAGGGGAGGGTTTGGCCGGCCGGGATGGCCTTGTCCCATCGTGCTCTAGCGACTCCTTGTGGCGGGCCGGGCGCCTGCAAGCTGACTCCCTCCGACACATTTGTGCGGCTGGCTTCCGGGTTAAGCGAGCAGTGTGTCAAGAAGCAGTGCGGCTTGGCAGGGTCGTGTTTCGGAGGACGCATGGCTCTCGACCTTCGCCTCTCCCGAGTCCGTACGGGAGTTGCAGCGATGGGACAAGACTGTAACTACCAATTGGATTTCACGAAATTGGGGAGAAAAAGGGGTAAAAGTACAACCTTTTTTTTAAAAGTGTATTTATTTCCCCAATTTTTGCAGTATTAGTTTAGTGCCTTGTTGCAAACAAGATGCATGTTTTGTAATATTTTTATTCTGTACAGGATTCCTTCTTTTCACTCTGTCAATTAGGTTAGTATTGTGGAGTAACTACAATGTTGTTGATCCATCCTCAGTTTTCTCCTAACACAGCCATTCAAATAGAACTGTTTTAAAGTCACCATTGGCCTCATGGTGAAATCCCTGAGCGGTTTCCTTCCTCTCCGGCAACTGAGTTAGGAAGGACGCCTGTATCTTTATAGTGACTGGGTATATTGATTCACCATCCATAGTGTAATTAATAACTTCACTATGCACAAAGGGATATTCAATGTCTGCTTTTTTTTTTTTACCCATCTACCAATAGGTGCCCTTATTTGCGAGGCATTGGAAAACCTCCCTGGTCTTTGTGGTTGAATCTGTGTTTGAAATTCAGTGTCCGACTGAGGGACCTTACAATTATCTGTATGTGTGGGGTACAGAGATGAGGTAGTCATTCAAAAATCATGTAAAACACTATTATTGCACACAGTGAGTCCGTGCAACTCATTATGCGACTTGTAAAGCACATTTTTACTCCTAAACTTATTTAGGCTTGCCAATACTAATTCAAAGAACATAATTCCTCTTTGACATTATGGGGTATTGTGTGTAGGCCAGTGACAAAAAAATCTAAATGTAAACCATTTTAAATTCAGGCTGCAACAACAAAATGTGGAAAAGTAAAAAAGGTGTGAATACTTTCTGGAGGCACTGTATTTAGATATCCATTCGTACTGTATGGCTGTGAACGTACCAACTGACACCGGCGCTCACTGCTCCAAGCCACTCCAGGAAGCTGTGGGGGTCACAAGACTGCTGGTCCCCGCGCAAGTCCAAGGCGTGCAGGGATGGACATGGCAGATCCTTCAGGGTGTGGCTACTGACCACTGGTTTGTGCTCTTTCCACTGGTAACGTGACAGGAGAGTCTGCAGCACTCTATCCCCATCCGCCCCTGAGTTCGACACAGACGCAATTTTAGAAATGATTTGAAGGAAAACATTGGTCAGCTTCAGGGTCGTTTTTAAAAGAGCATACTGTAGCAAACGAAAATTAGAGTTTCTTATTGGACAAGTTCAGGTGGTCCCTCTCTGTTTCGGGTCCGTTTTCTACCATTTAGTCTAGTGAAAACAACCCCGGAATTGGAGAGACATTGCATGCCTCAGACTTGGACTCAACCGCGCAGACACAAAGGTTCTCCTACCTGAACTGTGTCGTGCCAGCAGGAAGTCGCTTTTCAGAGGCACCCTTTCTCTAAGGCTGGAGAGAACCCGCTGGTAGCGTTTCCCTTCTGTAGCCATGGATTTGTCCGTCAGGTCAATGGTCACGACTGCAGAACATCATCATTGTTATTAATCCAACCAGTTTAGATTTCATTTCGAACATGACAACAAAAAATTGCGAGTAAGAAACCAGGTGAAATGTCAATGAAATGTCAATACATAATGTGAAAAGATACATGATCCTTTCTCACCATATCTCATGGGCCGTCTGTGATTGTACTGTGACGGCTTTCCCTCCAGACCCAGCTGTTCATAGGTGTCCTTATCCACGGAGAGGATCAGCTGACCTTGGATTCAGACAGAGCAGAGGTTTATTTACTGACCAGTCAATGTGACATGGGGCCTCCTTTCTTGTAGTGCATTGTGCTAGTAATGAAAGTCAAAACACAACCAGTGGAGTTAATTTAATAAAGCTAGCATTGACTCCACTGACCGATGATGTGACAGCCTGGCAGAGGAGCTCTGGGTTGTATTCATTAGTGCACACTGTAGCAAAACGTTTTGCAACCACCAAAAAAAATGAACATTTCTTATTGGACAAATTTAGGTTAGTCCCTCCCAGTTTCGGCCCCTTTGCTTCCTAGTGAATACACCCCCTGGCAAATTAGCTTTTCCATTGGTTATATTGCCCAGGACAACATGACCACAATTTTGTGATGTCTTCTGGTCCCAATATTATACATTCTAGCCTATTTTGGACCATGGCCACTACTTTACACACAGGCTTAAAGTTGCCAGTGGTCTTTATTAAGATTACAGCAATAGGACTACAGTGTGAGTCATGTCCTGTAATAATCTGAGAATCGGTAGAGCACAGTGGTCAGGGAACTCACTGCTAGGGAGAAGTGCAATGGTGTTATCCTGGTCAATGCTCGTCTTGTAGGAAAGAGCGTAGAGAGCACCTGGGAAAACAAATAGGTATCCTTTAAGCCAGCATGAAAGTAACACTTTTTACTGTGAGTAAATTGTTCCATTTACAGATAGATAATATAATAGTGTATACAATAGTGTTCTCATTCTATGCACTTACCATTCCACACAACATTCTCCAAGAAGTCTTTATCCAAAAACTCATAGACTGGTAAATTCTTCACTAGAAAATACTTGCTGAAATTGTTTATGACACTGGCCAGTCGGGAAGGAAGGGCACCACATTCCGGTATTACCACCGACACCTGAGAGGATTAATGAGTTACCTCATGTTTTTAGTTCACATCACATGCATCTATTGTATCACACATTACATGGGTCATTTAACTAATTCACAGGCTGGCTAGCTAGCAACCGGTGTTGTTTAGATTTAACACGTAGGTCAAACAAGTGGCAAAGAAAACGAAGTGGCAGCAGGTTCCGTGCAGATAATCTAAACCATCTAGCTACTACAGAAGCATAAAGTTGCTTACCTTGTGGTTAAAATAATGTTTTGACACGTGAGTGTCGTGTCTGGACTTTTCATGCTCAAAGTTCGATTTCTCGCAAACAAGTAAACTTCTTGGACACTTGTCTAGCTCCGGGTACATTTTATTACACTTGTGTTTATTACACGTTTAAACCAACGACATTTAGCTACGCACACACTTGTGAATCAAACTTGTGAAATACAGTATGTTCCTCTCTGAACGTGAAAACTACTTCCGGCTAGAGCAAGCGCGCATGCTTGTCACGTGTTTAAAGTAGCCAATCACGTGTTTAAAGTAGCCAATCACGTGTTTAAAGTAGCCAATAGCGACCATAGCAAAACAGTAGAAAAAATCCAAACTTGAGTTTCGAAACCTGTACAGTCTTTGTCCAAACCATCAAAGATGCCTTGGGCGCGTTCAGCAGGACGCAACGTTTTGGAACGTTCAGATAGAAATATGGTATGTCGAACAAACATACCTCTCTGACATGTAGTATAAGGAATCACATTATCTCTATTGATGGCATTTCTATCTGCAACGTTCGAGAATGTTTGGCAACCAAACGTGGCCCTGGCCTGTCAACAGAAATGTGCATCTGATGAGATGTTCCAGACGTACGTTCTGTAGTGGTCAAGGAATTACATTTCATGAGAGCAACATTTATTTTGAAACATCAGTTTTTAGTTTTACACATGGTATATACACCGTCCAAACGAAATGCTTACTTGCAGGTTCCTTCTCGACAATGCAACAACAATAAGAAATAATAAAAGATAAGAATACGAACATAAAGTAAATGGCTCAGTAGAATATAATAAACATTTTAGCATAAGTATAATACAGGAAGGCACAATTTATAGTGAAATATTTACACATGTTTAAATTGTGCAGTATTAGCAATAGTAAATAAGAGTCTGGTGTGCGTGCGTGTGTGTGTGTGCATGTGTTCTAAGGTGCGGAGACTAGGTGCAGTTGAAGTTACACACATTTGTTTAAAAGCAACGTGATGGTAATAAAAAATACACATAAAAAAAAATACCAATCAATGTTTCCACATTCATAAAATATGAAGCAGCTTCAATTACACTGAGCAAAAATATAAACAGTGTTGGTCCCATGTTTCATGAGCTGAAAAAGATCCCAGAAATGTTCCCTATGCACAAAAAGCTTTTTCTCTCAAATTTGGTGCACAAATTGGTTTACATCCCTGTTAGTGAGCGTTTCTCCTTTGCCAAGATAATCCATCCACCTGACAGGTGTGGCATATCAAGAAGCTGATTACACAGCATGATCATTACACAGGTGCACCTTGTGCTGGGGACAATAAAAGGCCACTAAAATATGCTGTTCTGTCACACAACACAATGCCACAGATCTCTCAAGTGTTGAGGCAGCGTGCAATTGGCATGCAGACTGCAGGAATGTCCACCAGAGCTGTTGCCAAATAATTGAATGTTAATTTCTCTACCATAAGCCGCCTCCAACGTCGTTTTAGAGAATTTGGCAATGCGTCCAACCGTCCTCACAGCCGCAGACCACATGTATGGCGTCGTGTTGGAGAGCGGTTTGCTGATGTCAACGTTGCGAACACAACTGCATTTTATCGATGTGAATTTGAATGCACAAAAATACCTGAGGCCCATTTTTTTAAAGGTATCTGTGACCAACAGATGCATATCTGTATTCCCAGTCATGTGAAATCCATAGATTAGGGCCTAATGAATTTATTTCAATTGACTTATTTCCTCATATGAACTGTAACTCAGTAAAATCAATGAAATTGTTGCATGTTGCGTTTATATTTTTGTTCAGTATAGTTGAAATGACCAAAGAGCAGCAGGAAATCTTACAGATTGCACCTTTAGGGAAGACCCTCGTGAGTCCTACATGATTTCCACTGCCTGGTATGATTAGTACTGGAAACTAGTACTGTATAATGGTGAAGCCACGAGCAGTCATTTATGGCAGACATTTCCAGATACACAATATGTACTTGTGAATCACAGGAGGTTGGTGGCACCTTAATTGGGGAGGACGGGCACATGGTAATGGCTGGAGCGGTGTAAGTGGAAAGGTATCAACATGGACGCCATTCAATTTCTCTCCATTCCAGCCATTATTATGAGCAATCCTCCCCTCAGCAGCCTCCACTGCTTGTGATGGATAGGGAAAATGTATCTGGTAGGAGAGGAGGTTCACATTCATTATGTGCCTTACCTGAATATCTTTAGTCTCCCAAGTCATGTTAAATGTATTATTAAAGGGGCAATCAGCAATTGCTGCATCAATTTTGACTTAGTGTTGCCATTGATTCTTGAATATAATTTATAAATGCCTAATGAGCTTAGTTCAACAGTCTTACCCAATCATACCCAACATTTACACTTGTTTTATTCCCATTGTTTGTAAACAATGTAATTATAAACAAACACTATATAACTTCAAAACATGGTTAAAACTATCATTTTGATTTCATGAATGGTCAGTCCTTGCATCCATAGCCCCGTCTATGAATTTGAGAGTGGTTATATTTCTCCAGCCCCATCCCTTAGCTGTTTATCTCAAAAATGTGATGGGGTGACACATTGGTGTTGTTTGAACCGCAGATTGCCCCTTTAAGCTTTAGTTATTTTATACAAAGCTAATAATACATTTTCTATTAATTGATATCTACTTAAATTTCAGCCACTTGGCCAGATTGTTCTCACGTTTATCACCTGTTCTGTCGTGAATTAGTTTTTCTCTAATCTGAGCTTCAACAAAAGCCGTTTGGAAAAAGCTTTTCTGCACAAGTTAAATGTCTGCATAATACATACACAAACTGTGTCGTCTGTGATTGTCAAGGCTTGACTCAACAAGCGGAGCATAAATTTATAAGAATCTGTGGCTTGGACACCAGAACTAGTAACATGTAAACAGCGATAGTAAATAATGTGACATGATTAAATAGTTTTAAAACAAAAATTGCATCCAGCAAAACACTAAAGCCACATACTGCATATATTACTGTTTAATTAAGATGCTGCCGTTATTGCAACAAAAGGGTATTATATATCACTACAAGCCATTACAAATACATATAAATGATAACATGAGTTTTAAAAGAGTACTATTATACAGGTCATACATTTCAATACATCAGAGAGAAGTGTTGGCTGGTGTAAGTGCTAGGTGACTTTCTGTGACTATAAAGCCTTTCCTCAGTGCTGTTACCATAGCAAAACATAACTAACTGTCCAGAATCTGGTCCTAGACAGTGACCCAATCTTCAAGACATCCTATGATAACAACAATCACGACACGACTATAAACTCAGAAGTCCCTGTGCACTCCAGTTTCCTCCACAATGGTCCTCTGAGTAGTGTACATCTGGCCAATGGACACCTGCAATAGAAAGAGACCGGTCAATCAGTGTCTACATGAGAATGCGCAGATGTTTTCTGACTTTTTGTAGCCTGTATGGACTGGAGTAGATGTATTTGTAGAAGGGCCGCACTCAAAAATGAGATTTTCAAAGTTATTTTATTCAATTTATTTCATTTAGAGGCAACAAGAGCAAAAACACTTGGCCGTTGGGCCATCGTCAGGTACAGAAATGTGTTTATACTCATTGAGCCCTTGTGAGACCATTTTCTCTGAATATTGATTAGCTACTATTTCACAATCCACAACTGATGTACAAAGTCTTAATGAATATTTGAATAGGCTATTCTACTAACAATTAACATCCCTAATATGAACATCTAATCAACACTACTGAAAAGTTATTCACCTGTCTCTTGATGACAGCAAGGTTCTCTCTGGCCTGGTTGAGCAGCATATCCAGAGTTTTTGGGTTGTCAACATGGAGATTCTCCCTGAAGCTGTCCTTTACTCTGCGCAGGGCATACGTTCTGAAAAAAGGCAGGAGCACAAAGTAAATACATCATAAATCTGCAGGAGAAAAATTAAATATATATTGCATTACTTGCAATTCAATAACCATTTCAGACTGTAATAAAACAAAAACATATTTTTTTAAATGAAAGCCTACTGTATGCTTGCCTTGCAGGCTTGTTTTTGTGCAGTATAAAATCATGCGACTCACACCTACGTTTGATTGTAGCCTCGAGGGCGCTAGCGGGCATTGTTGTTCCTGTCTTGACTTACGCAAGTGGAAAATATAGGAGAAACTGCGACCACTAGCGGTTTATCGAGGTTAGTTTGATTCACATAGCTAAATCCTGATCCTGTCAGGACAAACACTAGGTAGTTAGTTAGCTATCATATCATTGGTGTCAGATCTTTGCAAAGCCCAAAGTGTTTTGTTAGAATATTTCACTACTTTCGCCAGCGTGAGCTAGCTAGCAACGTTACACCTCATCAAAAAACCCTAGTTAGCTATCTCCCTGTAACGTTACAGCACAACACAATTAGAAAAGTTGATATCAATAAAAAAAAAAGGTGGTACTAGAAATTCACGTTAAGAAGTTGTGCTTTCCACAACTTCTAGCAATGGAAACGTTACTGGCTAGCAATGGAAACACGGTTAGTTACTGGCTAACGACGTTGTGAAAGACGTGGAAATTGAAAGACATTTCGAACTTACTGTAGCTAGCTCAACATTAGATTGAACACATAACGTCATATGATTCCAGCCAGTGTGGGTACATTACATCTCTTACCTGTAATTGTAAGAGGGGAATTTTTTGCTCTCTTTTATAAGCATTCTGTACAAGGAGATCACCTGAGTTCTGCTGCATGCCGCCATGTTGGTTGATGTAAACACACAAAAAACTCAATTGTATTTACTTGACTCCTCGCATCCTCTCTCCTCGCTTCCTTCTCAAAACCTATTGGATAAGAAAGTCAGATGTCCCGCCCCTCTGACCTTCTCCTCCAATGGGTTTTGAGAAGGAGACGAGGAGTGAGGACGCGAGGAGGACGCAATTGACGTCTTCCCAAGGAAATGCAGTTGAGCATTTTTTCCATGTGAAGACAGCAAGAATAACGAGTTCACGGTCCTTCAAAATAAAAGTAATGTCATGTAAACTGTTATGAAGGAAAAACTGTGATGAATTAATGCAAAATATGCACGGTCTACTATCAACATATCTTATACTAGTTATTAAACGAAATATGTATTTCTGAAAGTAATAATGTGATATCAGAGGAGGCTGGTCATTGGAGAAAGGCAAGGACCATCCTCTATCTAATCAAATCAAATTGTATTGGTCGCGTACACGGTTTAGC